TCTCAACTCCTTGCAGGCAGGTGCCATATGGTTCGTTGAGCTTCTGTGTGAGGGAACAGTCGTGCTGCATGACATTCGATCCCTAGGGGCAGCAGGATGACTGTTTCTGGGTGGGTGTCGTGGGGGCGTGTATTAGTTTTGCATGTTGTTTCAGGCACCTGCACATATGGCGTCCTGCATAACTGCCCGGCGCAGGTGCCAAGACTGCAAAAAAGAGAAAAAAGAAAAAAAAGAAAAAAAAAGAAATGTGAATGGGCATTGAGGTCCTGAGGTCCTGAGGTCCTGAAGGAGTATGGCTACGTGTATCGGTACAAGCGTACATCAATGTGTTCTGTACAAGCATGCAGCACAACAAGACAGGAAATTTGAGTTTCAAATACATATGATTATTATATGAGACATATCCTGGATGATTATATTCCTGTCCAGTCTCCCTGTTGTTTAGAAAATAAAAGAATTATCCCTACACTTATAAAAATCGCTAATGTCAGACATCTGAAATCCGGGCCGTCTTTGGACCTACCGGCCCGACGGCCCGGATTGGGCCCCGATCTTAGATCTTTAAGATCGCGCGGCGATCCAGGCCGTTCGCGGTTGCATCTGCCCGACGGCCCAGATTGCCCCGCGATCTTAAAGTTTTAAGATCGCGGGCGAATCCGGGCCGTCGGGCCGTTTACGGCCTGGATCGCCGCGGTGCCTTGGGGAGTTCGGTCCGAAAGGACCGTTGGCGGGCGGGCGGGAAAACTACGGCCCTACGCGACGCGATGCGACCACGCTATGCTACGCGACGCGACCTACGCTACGCGACCTACCTCGACGCGACCTACGCTACGGGACGCGACCTACCTACGCTACGCGCCCTATCTACTCGACGCGACCTACGCTACGTGACGCGACCTACCTAATCGACGCGACCTACGTACGCAACGACTGATCTTGGATACGTGCTTTTCTCTCTCTCTCTCTCTCTCTCTCTCTCTCTCTCTCTCTCTCTCTCTCTCTCTCTCTCTCTCTCTCTCTGTGACTGTGCTCTTTGGTGCTCGGTGGTCATCTTGGATACGTGCTTTTCGTCACGTGCTGATCGTGGATCCGTGCTTTTCTTTGGTGCATGATCACTCGCCCATCGTCGATCCGTGCTTTTGGTGCTCGGTGCTCATCGTGGATACGTGCTTTTCGTGCTCATCGTGGATCCATGCTTCTTTTTGGTGCATGATCACGTGCTCATCATCGATCCGTGCTTTTCGTGTTCATCGTGGATCCGTGCTTTTCCTTGGTGCATGATACGTGCTTTTCGTGCTCATCCTGGATCCGTGCTTTTATGTGGTGCATGATACATGCTTTTCGTGCTCATCGTGGATCCGTGCTTTTCTTTGGTGCACGATCACGTGCTCATCGTCGATCAATGGTTTTGTGCTCATTGTCGATCCGTGCTTTTCGTGCTCATCATCGATCCGTGCTTTTCGTGCTCATCGTCGATCCGTTCTTTTCGTGCTCATCGTCGATCCGTGCTTTTCGTGCTCGGTGCTCATCGTGGACACGTGCTCATGGATCCGTGCTTTTCTTTGGTGCATGACCACGTGCTCATCGTCGATCCGTGCTTTTCTTTGGTGCATGATCACGTGCTCATCGTCGATCCGTGCTTTTGGTGCTCGGTGCTCATCGTGGATTCGTGCTCATTGGGGATCC